CACCACCCACACTGCCTTATAATATTTGATATGTATTGTTCAACTGTTGATGACAACTGTTGGTATCTTCCATCTATGTAAACTAGCAACATTATGTTTCTTTTTGTTGTTTTTGTTTGAATTTTAAATGTAAAAAATTGAGTTATTTTACCCATTATTTTATGTAATTATAGATTTGAAGGTCTAACTATACACGCGCGATTTTTACCGAGTGCGATTTTTACTGAATGCGGCGTTTTGCTGAAATAAACATACCGTGTCCTATAATATTTGACATCTGATGTTTAATTGTTGATATTTCACACCTTAATTTTGCGTTTCTTGTTCTTTTGTGACTTCCGTTAAAATATTAATATATCGATGTATTTTTGAAGTAATGTTATTATACTGTTTTATGTTGTATAAATTTTGCAAACTATTTTAATGCTATGGTATTTGGAAGTTGTCAAATTCACTGAATTCATCCAGCTATGTGTCAGGAAACTCTGCGAAAGGTCTAAACAGATGCCCCTGCAAATTTGTGATGAGGATATGGATGGCAGTGTTACATTGATAGAGTGTTTGTTTTGGAGTGGAACGGTCAACAGAGCATTGAGTACAATGTATATATTGCATATGACATTGTCAGTCTGAGGACAGACTTCAGCATGCAGGTACTTTCATTCATTGAATATTTCGATAAGTAAATGATATCATTTTAAAGGTCTTCTAATAGATAAGAAATAATTTTAGTAAGACATAGCCATTGCCTGTAACAAATGCTCTCAGGAGTCTATCTTCATCTACAAGCAAAGCTGGAATGTCGCCATGTGACTTTATACACAATTTAATAGTAATATGTTGAATAGTTTAGATAGTTTATTATGATGTATTAAAGTTTTAATAAATGTATAATATATTTTGAGGTTTTGTCACCCGCCCTTGCCTGGAAGATTGCACTAAAGGAACACGTCTACCAATACAGATGGAGGATCTACATATGACTTAACAAATTACTTGACAGACACTGTGAAAGTTGATCAAGACTGGTATCGATTCTTCGAGAGTTCCGGTGCTGATATACTCGCAAGAAGCAGTCGTGTTTGGGGCAGCTTTCTACACCTCTGTGCCGGCAGATTTGTAAGATTGGAAGTTGTTCCAGTGTGGAGAGAGATGGACATGGTGTATTGTTTCGAAAAATTTGCCTTTTGATGATAGGAGTTATTCTCATTAAAGGTAATAAGACACAACATTGTTTATAAATACCTTTGCAAAATCAAATAAGTCATTATAATTGCTGCAATTTTATTTTTAAGTAATGGCCTAGATGTTTTGCTTGGATGAAAAGAATCCAAAAACTGTTCAATTGAAGTTTGGCTTGCTAGCTCGTTTAAGATTTACTCAAAAACCTGTCCTTGCTAGAAACAATGAATGATACGGCAAATCTTAATTAACTAAAAAACTTTGAATTTTTTTTGTGACTTAAAGAGAATCAAAACAAAGAATTGTTACTAGATACATGTAGTTAAATTGAAAAATAATTTATATGTAGGAAATGTTCACATTTTGAGATTTGAATGTTGTTCTGTTAACTTCAGTGACCTTTCAAAAACACTTGGACCATGGAAGTTTTTTTTTGCCATATTGGTGGCTCCAGTTGACATGGTGTATAACATCAGAATGTGGATTCTTGTGTAACATTGGTGACAGCTTGTGTTGGTAAGTTGCATGATTCGCATGATTCAGCATTGCTAAATTTTGTATTATGTAAATGACATTGTCATTCTGGAGATAGACCGGCATCCAGGGAGAAATAAAGTATTAAATTTCATTGAATATTTCACTAAGTGAAAAAAGATTTCAAAGGTGTATTGAATACATAAGTAATAACTTCAGTAAAATAAGTTTAAAGTGCATTTAATGAATGAATAATAATTTCAGTAAGGCATATTTTACAGATGATAGGAATTGTTTAGATAAAGTAAATATACCAAAAGACCTGGAGTGTCGCCATATGACTTAAAAAGCAACAAATTAATTGTAATATGTTGAGTTTAAAAAGTTTGTTTAGATCAAGTAAACATTTACATTTTGAGATAATTGTCACCGATCTTTGTCTATAGCAAACATTGCACTTAGTGACACATCTGCAAATATAGCTGGATAGTTGCCATGTGGCATAAGAGCTGTGACTACTGAAGCAATGAAGGACTTGGCAGACACTGTGAAAGTTGATCAAGACTGGTATCGATTCTTCGAGAGTTCCGGTGCTGATATACTCGCAAGAAGCAGTCGTGTTTGGGGCAGCTTTCTACACCTCTGTGCCGGCAGATTTGTAAGATTGGAAGTTGTTTCAGTGTGGAGAGAGATGGACACGGTGTATTGTTAGGTAAAACTTGCCATTTGATGTCACGGGCAGTTCTCATTAAAGGTAATGAGTCACGGTTATGTTCATAAAAGAGGGTTAGAAATCCCTGTAAAATCAAATATGTTGTAATAATTACCGCTATTTCCATTTTGTATCATGGGCTAGACTTTTGCATGGATGAGGAAATTCCCATAGCCTTGTTAATTGTAGTTTGACTTGCAAGCTACTTTAAGACAGTTCGGTGGTTTTACTTAATACCAACTCTTGCTATAAACAATGCATATAACGGCAACGTTTCATTTACCAATTTAGCTTGAATGTTGTCATATGACTTAAAAAGAAAGAAATATAATTTGTAACTAGTTAATTTTTTAAACAAAAATTGTTTATAGTAAATATTCACCTTTTGTGATTTGAATGCTTATTCTGCTTAACCCGTACGTGACCTCTCAGTTAAACCCTGAGACTAATGACATATCTTCATTAGGTAGTCCCAACGTTGTGATGGTGGATCAATGTCGGATGCCGGACGTCATGGTTGCTGTAACATTGGTGAAAAGTATACACATAGCAACTGGTTGTTGACGAATGTCTGACCATGATGAGCTCATGCCATGCGTACAATTTGCAATCTTTATGAAATGGGCATCTATAATCTCCGAGAACCAAAAGACACAGAGCAATCAAAAGAGAATTAAGTATTTTATCGTATTGAAATTTTCAATAAGTAAAAAATATATTTGAAAGGCTTATTCAATAAATAAATAATAATTTCAATAAGGTATATTTTACAGATGATAGGAATTGTCAAAAATAGATTGTCTAGTTAGTTAGCAGATGGAAGTTTCATGGTTTCTACTCAGATACAACCCCTTGCCTGAAACTTTGCACTTAGACACACATACTCATGTACGAAAAAGAGCTGGAGTGTCGCCATATGACTTAAAAAGCATCAAATTAATTGTAATATGTTGAGTTTAAAAAGTTTGTTAAGATAAAGTAAATATTTATATTTTGAGATAATTGTCACCGGCCCTTGTCTATAACAAACATACATTGCACTTTGGGACACATCTGCAAATAAAGCTGGAGAGTCGCACACTGTAGGGGATCAAGATGTTGTGTATACTACTGGTTCAAAAGCAAATGAAGGACTTGGCAACACTGTGTGAAAGTATGATCATAGACTCGTATCGCTTCTTCGATGTAGTTCCGGTGCTGAGATACTCTCAAGAAGCAGTCGTGTATTGGCGAGTCAGCTTACAGCACCTTCTGGTGCCGAGGCAGCATTCGTCTAGATTGAAGCTGTCTTCAGTGCTGGAGATAGAGAAATGGACTCACAGGATGTATTTAGCGTGAAAACTTAAAACCATTGATGTTCTACGGGCTCAGTTTCATTAAAGTTAACTGAGTTCACGTTTACCTGTTCTATGGAAGGCCAGGTTACAAAAAGTAAAGTATGTACCTGTATATAATTACCGTCTAATATACCTCCAAATGGTACATGGAGCTAGGACTTTTAGCATGGATTTAGGAATCATTCCCATAGCCTTATTAATTGTAGTTTGACTTGGCAAGCTACTCTTAAGACAGTCGGCTGGTGCTTTACCATTAATACCAACTCTCTATTAAAGCAATGCAGCTACCTATAAAACTCGGCAACAGTCTCCTAACCTTTACCATTTAGCTTAGAATGCTTCGTCATCATGCTACCTTAAATCAGAAGAAGAAATACTAATTATGATCTAACTCAGTTATTTTTTAACACACAAAATCTGTAGTGGAGATATAGTACAAGAATTCACCTCTTTGTAGTGCATCTTTTGACCATTGTTTATGTTCTGTTAACCCTAGTGCACCTCTTCACGTACAACCCGAATTGAACCAATGAATTGCATAGATTTGGAGAGTAGATCACACACTCCAATCGTTGTGATGTGCAGATAAGTGTCCGATATGCGGAACAAATGGTTGTGCTAACATTCGTGAAAAAGTCTTGTGTTGGAAGGTTGCTCTTATGATGGAAGTCAATCTCGGATAATTGAGAGTGTGATTTTTATTGCTGAAATGGCTCAGTCTGTCTCTATTCCAGAGAAAGGTCGCCCAGCAACTTTAAACGCAGAATTAGTAAATTTTATACGTATTTAAAGAAATTTCAAAAGCTATGTAGACATATCTCATTTGACATTTAAAGGACGATATAGTTCTATACATATAAATAATAATTTCAGATAAAGGTTTATGTATTTTACCAGATGACTAGAATTGTTTAAAAAATATACCTGCTGCTCTTAGTTAGTTAGCAGATGCTGAAGGTTTTTCATCATAACTCAGTAATACACACCCCTTCCTTAAACTTCTCGCACTTGACACACTATATCTTCATGTATCGAAAAAGCAGCTGGAGTGTCGCTCATTATGACTTAAAAAGCAACATAATAATGTACTGTAACTATGTTGAGCAAAGAACTTGTTCCTAGAATAACAGTAAATATTACATCTAAATATCTTAGAGATAATTGTCACCGGCCCTTGTCTATAACAAACATACATTGCACTTTGGGACACATCTGCAAGTAAAGCTGGAGAGTTGCCATGTAGCATAAGAGTTGTGGACTACTGGAGCAATGAAGACTTGGCAGACACTGTGAAAGTTGATAAGACTGGTATCGATTCTTCGAGAGTTCCGGTGCTGATATACTCGCAAGAAGCAGTCGTGTTTGGGGCAGCTTTCTACACCTCTGTGCCGGCAGATTTGTAAGATTGGAAGTTGTTTCAGTGTGGAGAGAGATGGACACGGTGTATTGTTAGGTAAAACTTGCCATTTGATGTCACGGACAGTTCTCATTAAAGGTAATGAGTCACTGTTATGTTCATAAAAGAGGGTAACGAAATCCCTGTAAAATCAAATATGTTGTAATAATTACCGCTATTTCCATTTTGTATCATGGGCTAGACTTTTGCGTGGATGAGGAAATTCCCATAGCCTTGTTAATTGTAGTTTGACTTGCAAGCTACTTTAAGACAGTTCGGTGGTTTTTACTTAATACCAACTCTTGCTATAAACAATGCATATAACGGCAACGTTTCATTTACCAATTTAGGTTGAATGTTGTCATATGACTTAAAAAGAAAGAAATATAATTTGTAACTAGTTAATTTTTAAACAAAATTGTTTATAGTAAATATTGACCTTTTGTGATTTGAATGTTGTTCTGTTAACCCTAGTGACTTTCAGTAAACCCTTGAACAATGAATGCTAGATTGGTGTCCAACGTTGTGATGGTGGATAATGTCGGAATGCGGATGGTTGTGTAACATTGGTGAAAAGTTTGTGTTGGGAAGTTGCATGATGGAGCATTGGTAAATTGTGTATTATGTAAATGGCATTGTTATTCTGGAGACAGGCCAGCATTCAAAGAGAATTAAGTATTTTATCGTATTAAAAATTTCAATAAGTAAAAATATATTTGAAAGGCTTATTCAATAAATAAATAATAATTTCAATAAGGTATATTTTACAGATGATAGGAATTGTCAAAAATAGATTGTCTAGTTAGTTAGCAGATGGAAGTTTAATGGTTCTACTCAGATACAACCCCTTGCCTGAAACTTTGCACTTAGACACACATTCTCATGTACGAAAAAGAGCTGGAGTGTCGCCATATGACTTAAAAAGCAACAAATTAATTGTAATATGTTGAGTTTAAAAAGTTTGTTAAGATAAAGTAAATATTTATATTTTGAGATAATTGTCACCGGCCCTTGTCTATAACAAACATACATTGCACTTTGGGACACATCTGCAAATAAAGCTGGAGAGTTGCCATGTGGCATAAGAGTTGTGACTACTGGAGCAATGAAGGACTTGGCAGACACTGTGAAAGTTGATCAAGACTGATATCGATTCTTCGAGAGTTCCGGTGCTGATATACTCGCAAGAAGCAGTCGTGTTTGGGGCAGCTTTCTACACCTCTGTGCCGGCAGATTTGTAAGATTGGAAGTTGTTTCAGTGTGGAGAGAGATGGACACGGTGTATTGTTAGGTAAAACTTGCCATTTGATGTCACGGGTAGTTCTCATTATAGGTAATGAGTCACGGTTATGTTCATAAAAGAGGGTTAGAAATCCCTGTAAAATCAAATATGTTGTAATAATTACCGCTATTTCCATTTTGTATCATGGGCTAGACTTTTGCATGGATGAGGAAATTCCCATAGCCTTGTTAATTGTAGTTTGACTTGCAAGCTACTTTAAGACAGTTCGGTGGTTTTACTTAATACCATCTCTTGCTTAAACAATGCATATAACGGCAACGTTTCATTTACCAATTTAGGTTGAATGTTGTCATATGACTTAAAAAGAAAGAAATATAATTTGTAACTAGTTAAGTTTTATAAACAAAATTGTTTATAGTAAATATTCACCTTTTGTGATTTGAATGTTGTTCTGTTAACCCTAGTGACATTTCAGTAAACCCTTGAACAATAAATGCTAGATTGGTGTCCAACGTTGTGATGGTTGATAATGTCGGAATGCGGATGGTTTGTGTAACATTTGGTGAAAAGTTTGTGTTGGGAAGTTGCATGATGGAGCATTGGTAAATTGTGTATTATGTAAATGGCATTGTTATTCTGGAGACAGGCCAGCATTCAAAGAGATATTAAGTATTTTATCGTATTAAAAAATTTCAATAAGTAAAAATATATTTGAAAGGCTTATTCAAATAAATAAATAAATAATAATTTCAATAAGGTATATTTTACAGATGATAGGAATTTGTCAAAATAGATTGTCTAAGTTAGTTAGCAGATGGAAGTTTAATGTTCTACTCAGATACAACCCTTGCCTGAAAACTTTGCACTTAGACACACATACTCATGTACCGAAAAAGAGCTGGAGTGTAGCCATATGACTTAAAAAGCAACAAATTAATTTGAAATATATTGAGTTTAAAAAGTTTTTAAGATAAAGTAAATATTTATATTTTGTGATAATTGTCACCGGCCCTTGTCTATAACAAAAATACATTGTACTTTGGGACACATCTGCAAATAAAGCTGGAGAGTTGCCATGTGGCATAAGAGTTGTGACTACTGGAGCTAATGAAGGACTTGGCAATTGACACTGTGAAAGTTTGATCAAGACTGGTATCGATCTTCGAGAGTTCCAGGTGCTGATATTTACTCGCAAGAAGCAGTCGTGTTTGGGGCAGCTTTCTACACCTCTGTGCCGGCAGATTTGTAAGATGTGAAGTTGTTTCTCAGTGTGGAGAGAGATGGACACGGTGTATTGTTAGGTAAACACGTGCCATTTATTGTCACGCGATACGTTCTCATGTTACGGTAATGAGTCATCGGTTATGTTCATCTAAAAAGCGTTAGAAATTCTCCTGTAATAAATCATAATATGGTTGTCCAATAACGTTACCGCCTAATTCCAATTCGTCGTGTATCATTGCGGCTCAGACTTTATGGACATAAGGAAATTCCCATTAGTCGTTGTTTACTCATTGTCAGTATTGAGCTTGTGCAAGCTACTTGATAGACTAGTTTCCCGTCGGGTCGTTACTTCGATCATTCAATACAACTGCTATAAACAATCGCACTCTCATGAGCGGCGCATAACTGTTCACCTTAACCAAGTAGACTTGAATGTATGTCCTCATGACTTATAAAAGAAAGAATATAATTTGTAACATTAGTTCAATATTGTTTTTAAAACAAATTGTTATCAATAGTCATATTCGACCTTTTTATGTGATTGAATCGTTTGTCTCTTGTTTAACTAGTGACGCTTTCAGTAAACCCTTGAACATATGAATGCTAGATTGGTGCTCCAACGTTGTGATGGTTTTGATAATGTCGGAAATGCGGATGGTTGGGTGTTAACATTGGTGAAAAAGTTCTGTGTTGGGAAGGTGGATGATGGAGCATGTGGTAAATTGTGTATTATGTAAATGGCATTGTTATTCTGGAGACCAGGCCAGCATTCAAAGAGAATTAAGTCATTTTTATCGTATTAAAAATTTCAATAAGTAAAAAATATATTTGAAAAGGCTTAATATTCAATAAATAAATAATAATATTCAATAAGGTTATATTTTACAGATTGATATGGAATTGTCAAAATAGGTTGTCTAGTTCTCAGAGTAGCAGATGGAAGTTGTAACTGAGTTGCTACTCAGAGTACAACCCCCTTGCCTGAAACTTGTGCACTTAGACACACATTCTCAATAGTACGGAAAAAGAGCAGGAGTGGTCGCCATATGACTTAAAAGCAAGAAATTAATTGTAATATGTTCGAGTTTAAAAAAGTTTGTTAAGATAAAGTAAATATACTTTATTTTGAGATAATTGTCACCGGCCCTTGTCTATAAACAAACATTACATTGCACTTTGGGACACATCTGCACATAAAGCTGGAGAGTTGCCATGTGGCATAAGAGTTGTGACTACTTGGAGCAATGAAGGACTTGGCAAGACACTGTGAAAGTTGAGTCAGACTGGTATCGATTCTTTCGAGAGTTCCGGTGCTGATATACTCGCCCAAGAAGCAGTCGTGTTTGGGGCAGCTTTCTACACCTCTGTGCCGGCAGATTTGTAAGATTGGAAGTTGTTTCAGTGTGGAGAGAGATGGACACGGTGTAATTGTTAGGTAAAACTTGCCATTTGATGTCACGGTCAGTTCTCATTATAGTAATGAGTCACGGTTATGTTCATAAAAGAGGGTTAGAAATCCCTGTAAAATCAAATATGTTGTAATAATTACCGCTATTTCCATTTTGTATCATGGGCTAGACTTTTGCATGGATGAGGAAATTCCCATAGCCTTGTTAATTGTAGTTTGACTTGCAAGCTACTTTAAGACAGTTCGGTGGTTTTACTTAATACCAACTCTTGCTATAAACAATGCATATAACGGCAACGTTTCATTTACCAATTTAGGTTGAATGTTGTCATATGACTTAAAAAGAAAGAAATATAATTTGTAACTAGTTAATTTTTAAACAAAATTGTTTATAGTAAATATTGACCTTTTGTGATTGAATGTTGTTCTGTTAACCTAGTGACCTTCAGTAACTCTTGACAATGTAAGGCATAGTATTTGGTGTCAACGTTTGGTCGATTGTGGTAATGTCGGTAATGCGGATGGTTGTTGTAACATTGGTGAGAAATTTGTGTTGGGAAAGTTGCTATGATGGAGCATTTTGGTAAATGTGGGTAATTATGTAAATGGCATTGTTATTCTGAGACAGGCCAGGTCATCCAGTAAGTGTAGAATTAAGTATTTCTATCGTAATTAAGAAGTATTCAATAAGTAAAAAATATGTTGTGAATAAGGCTTATATAAAAATATATAATTCCAATAGGATATTTAACAGATGATAGGAATGTCAGAAATAGTTAGTTGTCTAGTTTAGTACAGATGGAAGTTAATGTCAATCTAATAAACCCCTTGCCGAAAACTTTGCACTTAGGTACACACGATTCTTCATGTACTAAAAGAGCGAGATGTTCGCCATATGACTTAAAAAAGCAACAAATTAATTATAAATATGTCTGACGTTAAAAAATGTGGCTTAGATAAAGGTAAATAAATAATACATTTTGAGAGGAGATTGTCACCGCGATGTTCTAATATAATACGCACTTAAGGACAACATGCTTGCAAATAAAGCTGGAGTTGCCATGTGAATAATGCTGTGAATTACTGGTAGGAAATGAATGACTTTGCAGAAAACCAAGAAAGTTGATCAAGAACTGGTATTGAATTCCTTGACCCCAGTCCCAGTGTGTTGGAGTTTTTTCCGTTCCGATATCCTGGCCAAGCGGTGCACTGTTATTTTACTTAAAATTTAACATATTATTTTGTTGTCATTATAATCTGTTGTCTTATATTTTAAAATATGATTTTCAATTGTTATTACATGATATTTAAATTACAATTTTTCTCTCTCAATGCGCCTTTTATTTCTATTTTACTGTTTACCAATTGTCAAATATGTATCATTATAATTTTTAGTTGCTATGTCCTGGCGAAGCGGCCATCGGTTATTTTTCGGGCCATCAGTTATTTTTCGCTAAAAAATGAAAAACATATTTTACTTGTGTTTTAATTAAAACCAGTTATCTTATATTGTTTAAAAAGTATTTCAAACTTTACTTACATGAATATGATAATAACAATGACTTCCATTCAATAAATTACTGTATGTGTCCTTTAATTATATCACAATTCTGGTTTCAAATTGTCCAACCTATGTCATAATATATTCCGCGCCGCGATGCCCTGGCCACGCGTCCGTCCCGTCGGTTATTTTTTCGCTTAATTGTAAACATTCATTACTTATATTGTCTAATAATTGTTAAATTGTATTTCTAATATAACAATAACATAGATAAAAACAGAATCCTTAAAGAAAGCCCAACTCGGCAAAATTGTAAAATGTTGCAGGCTATGTTGGATATGTTTCAATCAAACTACCCCCGTCCAAATAAAATATTATTAGTGTCCTGTATTTTCTTTCAATATTGCGGTTGTCAAATATATGTCATACTATTTTCGGTTCCGCTATTCTGACCATGCGGACGTTATGCTATTTTTGTGATAATAGTGTTCTAGAACAAAATATTATTCATCATATAAATGTTCATTCTTAATCACAAAGGATTTAAGCCCCATTTTGTTCCCAAGCAGCATTTTATTAGAATAGCCTAATGATACATTTCTGTTATTTTATCAATATTTGAAGTACTTCAAGAAAATGTACCCATTGTAGACTAATCCATTTTAATGAAATTTAATCTGTATATATGGACAGTGCCGACTGAATAAATTCACGGCGCAAAAATTATGAAAAATGTTATGCTACCCTCATTGGACAAAAGTAAGACTTAGTCGATTTACTATACATATTAAAGTTAGTCGATTTATCAAAGTAAATTTGCTATGGTTAATTTGGATTACTGCAATTGTATTGGACAAAAATATTGCCAACCAAGATTTAGTTGTTTGTAAAAAATACCAAATGCAATACTCATCATTGTAAGCATATAAATTTAATGTTGTTGTTTTTTCTATCAGAGAAAATGAGAGGTTTTATAAACTGCGCAACTTTGAAATGGACGCTGCCGGCAACCATAATTGTACTTAAATTATGATTTGATTCTTAACTTGGAAATGTTTTTGTTAATTTTACTACTTGAAATATCTGAGTATTTGAACAATTGTGACCATATAACACACTACTAAAGTACTTAAATTGTGAATGTTTATCTAGAAATAAATAGATGCTTCGAAAAATATCCTGTTTTGTCATCCATTTACTTGATAAAATTTTGGTGCCATATTGAACCCAATTCTAGATATGATGTAGATGAAATTAAATGAAGTT